AACTCAAATTAATCAATGAAAAAAGAGTAAACAATCCCAACTACCAGTGGGCAAGATATATGAACACAACCTTCTCTGATGAAGACAGATGAATGGCTAAGAAGCATATGAAAAAAATACTCATTGTCCCTGATCATCAGAGAAATACAAATCAAAACCACCCTGAAATACCACCTAACCCCAGTGAGAAAAGCCCCCATCACAAACTCTCAAAGCTGCTTGCACTGCTGGTGGGACTGCAAACCATGCAGTCTTTTTAGAAGGAAGTATGGCAAATGCTCGAAGAACTCAAATTAGACCTCCCTTTTGATCCTGCAATCCCATTCCTAGGCATCTACACAGAAGAAAAACTATCACTTTATCATAAGGATACTTGCACCAGACTCTTTCTCACAGTTCAATTTATAATCGCCAAAATGTGGAAACAACCTAAATGCCCCACAACCCAGGAATGGATTAACAAGCTGTAATATGTGTATACCATGGAATACTAGTCAGCCATTAAAAAAGATGGAGACTTTACTTGTTTTGTATTAACCTGGATGGAGCTGAAACACATTGTTCTTAGTAAAGCATCACAAGAACGGAGGAGCAAGAATCCAATGCACTCAATTCTAACATGAAGGCAGATGATCTAATACATACCCTCATAAAAAAAAACTCAAATCAATTCAAGGTTGGGGCAGGGGAATGAGAGAGCACAGAGAGGGGAGCAGAGGGAGGGGGATAAGGGTTACAGTGTATGGCACACCTCTTGGGGGTGGGACACAATTATAAGAGGGACTTTACCTTACAAGTGCAATCAGTGTAACTTAATTCTTTGTACCCTCAATGAATCCCAAACAACCAAAAACAAATAAATAAATTACATAAATAAAGGGGGAAGAACAAGTACAACAAACAACCAAATTAGCTATCTTTTAGGGCATGTTTGAGGGACTTAAATCTGCATTATTGTGCCCAGGACTATAAAGAAAATAACCAGAACGATATTTCCATTTAGAGTAGAAAATGAAATGGAGGATCACACTCTTATTTTTAAATCCCATGATGCTGACACAATGCCACGCCTGACTGCCACCCATTTAGGTACTTAGAAAGGCTGTGCAAGCCCCTTTACAGAGAAATCTCTGCCTTCTCTCTGCTCTCACGGGAGCACTGCTCTGGAGAAGCTGAAGGCTCAGTAAGCCCCCTAATCTGCCATGAACTCTGCTTGCTCTGCTTGAGACATGCTGACAACAAGAGAATGAAGTTCCCTACCACTTAGAAGCCTGCATCAGGGCCTTCTGCCTCGCTTCTCACTAGATCCAGTGGTCATCACCTGCTGCTAAAACTGGTCCAGTCCTGCCTTCCTCAGTGCAGACCTCAACTCTTCCCGCATCTGTGGAGAATTGTGGTTCTTCCTTGACTACTGCTATCTACCCACCCCCAATCCCACTTCAAATTACTCTGAATCACAGCCCAATGCAAGGGACACATCAGTTCTGGAAATTGTGAGGCCCTTTCTGTGCATAAGAAAGGCCCCTCTGCATCCTTCAGAGTACCTGCAGGGCGCATCCCTGCTCTCTCAGCCAGGAATTGATGTATGGCCCATATGCCTAAAAGAAATTATTTAGAACTTTGACACGGTAAGAGGACTTAGCAATTCCACAGGCTGACTATCATTTGAGTTCTTTCTCCTGGGACATGCATACACATTTAAAAAAAAAAAAAAAAAAGCATGTGTCACCTTTTAAGTAATTCAAGTAAGCTAATCATACTGAGTGCTAAGACCCAAGGTCCATGTCAATGTATAGTGGCTACATTAGGTGTATAGAAACCAGAGGTCCTCACTCCATGTTCCACTAATTACAGGATACTCTCATTACTTTGGATCCCATATTTATGAATTCACGTATTTCCTAAAAGTTATTTGGAACCCCAAAATCAATACATGGAGTGCCTTTGTGGTCACTGGCTGAAATGCACAGAGACCTGAAAATGTTGACTCACCTGCCCCACACAAAGTCCAACGCTGAGGTCAGACTAGGCCCTGCTCTGCTTTCTTGTCTCAGCTGTCACATGGAGAAGGCCAGAGCATGGACATGGTAGGGCAGAAGAGTGCACCACAGGAAGGTTGGACTCTGGGTCCAGCAAGAGGAAATCTGAATCCCTACTCCAGCACCTATCAGTGCAGTGGCCCCAGGCAAGTTACTTAACACTTCTGAACACTGATGTTTGCAAAATAAAACCTAATCACATGAGCTATTTTAAGAATTTAAGATTATAGTCCATGACAAATGTGTGTGTGTGCTTCTCTCAGAAGCAAAGGTTCAGCATTTCCTAATTCAGGGTTCATAACAACTATCGTGTTTCCACGAAAATAAGAC